CCCGTCCGCTGTGTGCAAGCCAAATGTCTTACCACTGAGCCATGCTGACTTTCCTTTTTTTTCTTTGTTGCCTGTTCATAGGCGCGTATACATCAAACCACACAGGATGCACGGCCTGCACGAATGTATTTCCGTTAATGTGTGGCCAAGTTTGTTGAACTGCAGAAAGCTAAGGAGATTGTTCCTGAGTGGTTGGCTGTCGAGGGTAGAACCCTTAGCAGCACTTCGGGAATTTTAATTCGTGTCCCTCTTGTAGGACTGTCACTGCTTGTTTCTGCTATGCTTTTGAGCCACGCCGATACTTGGAACATCATCGCAAACTTGCCGTAGGCAGGCTTGATGCCGAGAAAGGAATTACGTTATTATGAGTAATAAAGCGTTGTAGAAGAGCAAAGAAACAGCCTGCCGTCATACAATGCGAATCACGTAACGAGTGCGTCGTCCAATGCTCTAACCCATTACAAAGGCTTGTTATTGATCACCTATTAAATAAGGCGCATACCTACTTCAGGCATTATTCCTCATAATCATCAGCCACTGGATGAACAAGTGGCACGAAATTCCTTGCAAGTATTTAGCGGATACCACGCTACATCGAAGAATGATGAAATTTAGCATAGTGAATGCCCGCCTACAACCTAGAAATTATAACAAATAATGGCGTAGTGGGTACCAGCAAGTGTGCTTGTAGCAGTTACTTAATGAGTGTTTAGAAAGGGCTCTCAAATGCCGCTCTTCGAGCTTTCGCTGTGACTGTGCTACGCCTTATGCGCAGGCCTGGCGTTTTTTATAGGTACGTTAGCGAAGGCAATTGCAGTTCGAAATTTTCAGAGGCAAACTTCTATAGCACAGCAAAGGCAAATTTTTTCCCGATCTGCGATAGCACGCGCATAACAATAGCCTAACCCTATAGGAGGCGAGACAGTGAATGTACTACCTGCACCGAGTACATCACTATCAGGAAATGCATGAATGGCTCACGGTTTCACTTTCTCTCCAAAGGCAAAAAAAAAAAAAACGGGAAATGTATATTTTTCCTCGTCTCATACTTGTCTGAATTGATAGCGTCCATCTCGCGACCACCTCGTCGCTTTTTTCTTTTCGTGCGACTGTCGATGCAGATGAAGCAGAGAATACAAGGAACTGCTGGTTTAACGGTGAGGAAAAGACACGTGGCAGTTCCATTGAACGCTGCAAATCTCGAAACTGCTGTAGGAGCAAATGACGAGCCGTTAGCGGACGCCGCCGAGCCACATGCCACACGTTCCTCTCAAGGTCATGGTAACAGGCTCGGAACGTGTGTGATATGTTTCGGTGCCTGTTTTCTCGTTAAGATATCAGCTTAATGCACCCGCCACGTGTTAAGGATGCGTACACTTATTGTAGATCATCAAACATGCTTTGGCTCCATGCAATTCCATTAGGCCTTGGTCGTAGGTGGTTTTTACCTGTATGCGTCTACACCCATCAGTGTGACATGATTGCTTGTCCAAAAGTATACCTGGCATCAGACGTTCAGTGAAGAGTGAGCGGGGGAGTGGTGGATAGTTAAGTGAATAGGCGTAATGATAATGACGCGGCAAGCGTAGTAACTTGCGTGCGCGTGTACAGAAATTCGTTTAACTAATGACACCTCTAACTGTGCACGTGTGCAATATACCGATGGAGGACTCGCCTGTGCGCCTCATCAATTTTTGTCGTTAGCAAAAGACGGGATATGCAAGAATAATGCCTTCAGCTGCTGTCATATCTTGCGGAGCATCTTTAACACGAAAGACGTCCGCTTCATTATAGGAGGTGGTGGGCTCTACTGAAGGCGACTATACACAGAGTGCATGTAGGTGATATGAAAAATTGTTTTATATAGTTGTTGAGAAAGGCATTGACTCTGTGACGCGTGTACAATTGCATTTTATATCCAAGGATGTTTTGGAGAGATACAGCTTCTGCAATGAAGGCATTGCGTGATTAATTGAGACACAACTAATAACAGTACTTATTACGGGAAAGAAAGGGTATTGGCGTTCAACTAAGATCACAAAAAATTACGCAAGCCCCACTGATTTCACTGAAGCCACTGTTTACACTGTAAACGGTATTCTGTGCACTATATATGGCGCCATCCTGCGAGACAGCTCTTATATACGTCGTTTTTCAGGACCGTAATGCATTCAAACATTCTGCTAGTTCATATCATACGGAGCTTCAAAACTTTATCGCGTGGGGCTACCACACCGTCTCCAACCAACAATTGCACATGTTTAATACGAGAATGATGAGGATGAAGACGGTTTGGGACCCATCTCTGTGTTCTCACCTTGCCCGTGTGCTCAGATTTGGGTGCACGTTAAAGAACCCCAGGTGGTCTAAATTTCCGGAGCCCTCCACTACGGCGTCTCTCATAATCATATAGTGGTTTTGGGACGTTAAACCCTACATATCAATCAATAAATCATGTTCTCACCTTAACTTGGCGAGTGACGGCATTTTCAATTTTGTTGTGATACCTGAACAGACGAACTTTCATCGATTGTTGACTAAATACTGATATGATTGTACACTAGAGGGCACTGATTATTTTCGGCCATATTGGCTTATGTTAGTTCAGCGAACTGGGAACGTGGGGGTAAACACAGACACAAAGCAAAGAGGAGGCACACAGCACGAGCACTCAACTAACAACTGGTTTATTCTTACGTTCGAAGGACATATAAGTACACAAGGGTGCGCATATCGACAGGAATAGATGATAGTGTGAGCAGCAAGCGTAGCGTTCATTCGAAGAACTTGTTTACGAATTATCTATATAGTTAAACTCACAGTCAAGTAGTGATAATGACGGATGGCTGATACATTGATTCTTATTTCTAGAAATGTGATATGCTTCAGAAGTTTCACGCGTGGTTTGAAGTGGATGCCGGAAAAGTACGCATGTTTTTTCAAACAACGACTCTTATGCCGTTGTTCGGTTCTTATCTAATTCCAGTCGACATGCGCACCCTTGTGTACTTATATGTCCTTCGAACGTAAGAATAAACCAGTTGTTAGTTGAGCGCTCGTGCTGTGTGCCTCCTCCTTGCTTTGTGTCTGTGTTTACCCCCGCGCTCCCAGTTCGCTGAACAATCATGAATTACCATTTAGTCTACGTTTCCATCCTATTGCCTCATGTCGACAAGACCATTTTAATATTTTTTGCACTTCTCAATTTCGACACCATCGCAGCAGGATAGTTGTTGAAGCAAGGTTTGGATACCGCGACTTTGTCGTCAGTAGTAGAGCATGGCAACCATATATCATCGCTGTGGCTGTTGGGAAAAATTCAACATTGTAGAGAGAAAAGAAAAAAGGAAAAGGCCCGGTTTTTTAAAGGGCCAGTGAAAGGAGGCAACGCCTAAGATAAGCGAAAATTACGGTTCCTACCTTAACTGAACAAAATAAAGCAGCGACTTCGTTCTTATCCTGCCGGAAATCGCCCCTCCTCTTATTTACGAGTGGCTGAGTAGACGCGTCGGCACCATGTCCTGGGTCAGGGGTACGATGGACAGTTAAAGAAAACTTGAGTAAGAATAACGGTCATGCAGTATATTAACTCGGCTTCAGGAGCGCAGACGGTGTATACCTATACACTGTGCCAACAACACGGTTCCGCTTGCCGCCGTCGTCAAGAAGCTGTTGCTGTCTCTTTTACACTCAATTGAGGGTCGTTATTTCAACGAGAAAATTCCGGTGTAGCCGTTGGTTTTGTGAGTGAAGTCAATGTTGTCCGTCAGCGAAAATTCCAGATAGATGCGAATAAATAAATAGTTGAACAAAACTGTGATTCTAGTGGGGATCGAACCCAGGTCTTCTGCGTGCCAAGCAGTTGTCCTACCATAGAGCCACACAATTACTTTCAAATGATTTTGAAAAGAAAAAAAAAACCTTGGACGAACTTCATGTAATGCGAGGAGTGTCTAACGCACGTAATGTTGCGTGCACCAGAAGCGTATAATGTGAACTGCACGTGTGAATAAAGAGTCTAAAGGTCCAAGCCTTACGAAATTCTCTGACATCGTTGTTCGTCATCAGCATCAAAATGATCAACAAGGTGAGCAGCTGCGTATATTTGCGCATTGCCTTACGAACGCGTAGTCAGTATACTTCGCTGATTAGCAAAAGGAAGACTCACGGCGCGGTGGGTACCTCGCAAATTAAGCGGACTGCATATTTTGTTGTTAGTAATTAACACTTGGAAATAATAATTGATTAACAAGTGAACTTAATAATTACATACATCAGAAATTATGGGAAGAAATCACTTTCTACTCGGTCAATCACCTACAATGAGTGTGTACCATGTGCGCAGGTCAAGAAAAAGTTAAACTATGCTTGTAGGAAAAGACTGCGCTGCAAAGTGGAGGACGAAAGTCTGGACTGACACAGGGAAAGCGCTCTATGTCTAGGTTCGCCAGTGCGAAAGTTTGTGTGGCTGTGCGAAGTTATCTGAATGAAACATAACGACTAATAAACTGATCTCTCTTATTATCCTTCTGTGTCGACTCACGCAGAACTCTTATTTTATTTGTTTTTTTTTCAATAGAGAGTCGATTTACTTTGTTGTCTCTTACTGATAAAAAACATTATCCTTTGTAGGTTCGAGTGAGGATAAAAATTTCATATAAGATTTGTACTCTTTCCATTCATTAATTTTCATTAGTCTAGAATTGCATATTATTTTATGAGACCATTCTAGTCATAACCAATCCCCCATAGTGGGTATGAGTCAGAAAAAGAAGCGAATAATAAAAAAAAGAACAAGTACGCATTGCATGATAGTTTGAAATGATTAATGTTACGCGCACAGGTGTTCCTTTCCTCTAGACATGGTTGAGGTGTCCGCGAAGTGAGGCTTGATTGAGAAGGCGATGCGAACGGGGCCCGAGTACGCGATCTCGTTATACTCTCAATGTTGAAGCTGAAGAGTTCGCCAACTGTTTTGTTCTTTTTTCTTGCCGTTTCAGGTGCTGTTCAATCTGAAATTGGCTCTCTACAACATATCGAGGTGGGTGACCTTACGTGAGGACGGCGTCAATGTTATGTCACACTTAAAAACATTATTCCAGGGCGTCCGCTTACTGCCAACTGACAACGTGGTTGCTTTACGTCTTGGCCGATACCGCAAGCATTCCGCCTCTTTTGGCTGCCACCTGTAAGTATGTGTCCTTGTACGCTTAAAACCCAAGCACGGTTCTCTGCCTCTATTGCGCGAAAATTACTTGTTTGCTTGTACGATCGCCTGAGGCCTCCTATTACGAATCATTCTTCGGCTATAACTGCTTTATAAGTATGACCTACATTCACAAAATAGTTCGTGCGCCATAGAGTGGTCTGTATTTTGAAACGTAATGGCCTATATTGTGATAAAGAACAGTTTAGCATACTGAGAAAAAGCGATCCTGCGAACTAAGATCTTTGTTTTAATATTACAACGCATTACCTCAAGGAACGCCTAGAAAGAACAAAACCGTTTAATCAAACATCGTGGACAATTGTGCTAGCACAATCTACATCCTATAGATAAAAAAGGCATGCTACATATTACACGCATTTTGCCTTTTACAAGGCTATGTGTTGTTTACGTGGGGGTGGTACACCTTCCTGCTTCGCGAAAGCAATAAAGATTATTCCAGCCAGTTTTTTCTAAACTGAACGTGTAAAAAGCGGTGAGTCATGCACACTGTTTCAGCGATTATTGGTATAAATTAGCGCTAGAAATACTGTTGTGACAACACTTACAGTTTATAGCTTGTTATTATCTCTTTTATTTGCTCTTGCCGGCTCAGTAAATGTCGTATAACGCCTACTCGCAAATGGAGCGTGCTCTCGTTTCGCATCGAGCACATTTGTGATGCCATTCACGAAACATGAAATGTTCGCACGTGCGTTCCCTCTCGGCTGACCTCGCAGGTCTCCCAGTGGCGGTGTGCGTCGCACTTCAAGCGGAAAAGCTACTGGCAAGGGTAAGCACGCGCGAGATGCACGCATGGCATCTTTCCATGCATTTGTACCTCTTTTCACTTATACGGGCGGCAGACGACCAAGGACTCGGTGCGACGAGGCGAACGTCTTAAAACAACGCTCGGCCGTTTCGCTGCGCTCTTCCTGTGTCGGCGCGAGTGTGTGTGTGCGTGTCAAGTGAAACGTCTCTCGTATGCGCGCGCAGCATTTAGCGGGAGCCGCTGACTCGCAAGCAGTCAGCCGTGCCTTGCCAGCTTCGTCTGCAGGATTCTGCCGAGCGACTGCTGTTCTGCCCCACTCACCACGTTACTTTGTTCGCGGCAGTGCTGCTTTTCGGAGAGCTCGATGTGTGTTCCACCTTCAAAGGTGCTCGCGGTGATCGACATCCCGGAGCGCTAATCACCAAAGATATGCCTTAACGCAATATTTGTTATTTTCGACGATTGTTCGTTACCACACTCTTCGTGGCCAGTGGTGTGTAAGGGCCCAGGAAAGAGTCAGCGAGGCGCATATTGTGCTTACGGGTAGAAAGTTCCCCAACATGACCCTAGAAAGAAACTTTGCCGTGATGGCCACTGCTAAAATGACCGCTCAAACCTGAAAAAGAAAGCCGTATGTCAACGCTAAAAGACGATATGCTATATAACGAAACTCATATTCAAACGACCAGTTGATGAGTATTTATTGCAACATTTAGCCACCGTACTGAAGTGGCTAATTATGAAAGTGTTGAAGTGTGTTGCTTCTATAGTCCAGTGCGACAGCGAACACATTAATGGGATTAAACAGCTTAAGGACACAGTTCGCAGGGTCTCTTCTGCTTCCGCCACAGTCAACTCGAAGGAACCATCACTTTGTTCTAAGTAGACATATCTAGAGTTACTGTATGCTACCTTGTCATCATCATCATCATCATCATCATCTTCTTCATCATCATCATAATCATCATCATCATCATCATTCTGACTACGTCCACTGCAGGACAAAGGCCTCTCCCATGTTCCGCCAGTCAATTCGGTCCTGTGCTTGCTGCTGCCACTTTATACCCGCAAGTTATCCAGTTATTACCCTTAATGACGAGCGGTTATCCTGTCTACGTGCTACATGCCCGGCTCATGTCCATTTCCTCTTCTTGATTTCAACAATGATATCTTTAACCCCCCCCCGTTTTATTCCCTGATCCACTTTGCTCTCTTTTTGTCTCTTAAGGTTACACCTACCATTTTCTTTTTGCATTGCTCACTGCGTCGTCCTCAATTCAAGCTACCTTATATGCTACAGTAAATCTACACACATGAAACATTCCACGCCCCCCATCGAAAGCTTTGCGAAACTAACGTGGTTTTGCAATGCCTCCGAAATCGGAGGAGCTCCAAATTCTCTGCACCTCACCTCGTTTTGGACCGCCCCCGGGACCGGTGTGGCCTTCACCGAGCAATGATGTCATGTGATGACGTTACCACGTGACTTCACAGTGACTGCATGATAACGTCGTACATATTTGTGACCTGTGACGTCACTATAGCATCATATAGTGACGTCATCACGCGATGATCTTTTGCATCACTAGTGTTGGCGGTACTACGAACCCACTTGCCGACGTGGGACGCCGGTCAATATTCGCGCTTGATGAGGCATCCGAGGCTGTCGCCTTAAAAAAAATTGGTTATCTCCGGCATAGTGACCTGCGGACAACCTGCCGGTGGCATGTTATTTTTGCGTCTACTTTTCTCATTTACATTACCATTACTTTCACTAAGATGCCCTATACTGCTCTTGGCATCATTATCTGTTATTTTTTTATATTTTGTCTAACAAATAAAATTGAGCCCTTAAGTTTACATTTCTTTCCTTTGTTCATACATAGTACGAGCATTTGAATTCCCTGTAGCGCATCATGAAAGACATTAAAAAATATACAAAACATTCGAAGAGAAAATAGTCCCCAAAGGAATGTTCTGAGCGCATAGAAAACGTGCAGTCGTAACTCCGCCTATAAATGTGCATGTTCTTTTGTGATAACAAAGTCCAAGTGGCGCGCCGACGCATTACTTTCCAAGAAAAGATGATCTGTGGGCTTCAGTAATATCCCGGGTCATTGGATTGAACTTCGTTTTTTTGCTTTGTTTTTCAACACATGGCATTTGACGAATTCAGACCTGCTACCGAGTCGCTTCCATCGAAGGTCCAGATATACGATGTATGTTCCTTTGACACTGTGCTGCTGTTCACGGTTCGCGAAGCATTTGAAGAAGACAGCATGCCAAAGCAGTTGACTACACCACAAGTGTAACACTCGCACGCTGGCCTATATTCTTTAACTTGTGGGACAAGCCGTGATTGTACATTATCGCAGTGCTCCCACGACATCGCTTTTGCTTTTCGTTACTTTGTCCCCGTTTTGTGCACTACGTTAGGTTCCAAGGTAAAAATCGATTGGGCAAAGGCCACTACTTGATGGCTGCTTCGCATGAAATTAGTTCAAACACCATCGTCTAGGGAGTCCGAAATTCTCTAGCTGATTACAACGTTTTCTTTCCCTTTTACCAGAGATGCTTTCTAGGAAATGGTTACTCATCCGGCAAAAAAAAAAAAAAGCTCAGTTGAATTTGCGCCACAGGAACTGGGAAGCCCCACATACCAAATAAAAGCGAAACCGAATATCTTCGCGAGGAGAAACTCCATCGGTCGTGTAAAAAACTATCGCTAATATATGAATGTAATAACTCCAATGACCACGCACTCTCTTCATTCTCTTGTTCATCTTCTTCTTGGCTCTAGTAACAAGCACACCAATTCGCGCGGCGTGCGATGCAATAATTCGGATGGGCAATAGAACGACCTCAAAGAGAGAGGAAAAAAGATTGAGAAAGAAGGAGAAAAAGAGAAGTAAAAAGAAATAACAAAAAACAGAATGATAAAAATGCAGAAAGACAAAAAAGAATAGAAAGACAAAGAAATGAAAAAAATACAGACGTGAAAATGAGAAGAAAAAACAGAGAGCAAGACAAAAAGAGAGAAATATAGAGCAACAAGGGGTCAGGAAAAAAATAGAGAGAAATAGAAAAAGAAAAACATTGAGAAAAATAGACTAACATATCCTAAAATAAAGTACAGATATGTGGATAAATCCTCCCTGTTCTGTATAAACCATACGTCAAGAAGAAAACAACAGCGACAAAGCCACCCAGCTCCACTCTCGCCTCGGGCTTGGCACCGCTAGTGCGAAACTGGCTGAATTGTCTTCTCTTTACAACTCTCTTTTTGCACACGTAAGTTCTATCAGACAGCATGCGAACACGTAAATTATTTTACAAATTATGCTTCCGGAATAATGATGACAGTGAGCCAGCGTCAATCACACGGCGTGTGAGCGCTCATAGGCGAGATGGCGGTACTTTGAGTGTTCTCTAAATGGACGCACGGATGGACGCATGGATGAACAGACAGACAGAACGTCGATGATAATACGCGCTAGCACAAAGGGCACTCTCTAATACGAGCTTCCTTTGCAATAAGGCTGAATGTATGAGCGCACGATTCTACGATTGCAGAAGTGTCTTTGTTCTATGCGAGGTCCACGCTGTAACGAGACAATACCATGCCATCTGCTATTTATACACAAGAGCTGCTATAACCTGCTATACAAAGGCCTGTAAAATTCTTATAGACCTGCTATATGTAACGACCGTTTGTGCTTGTTTTTTCCTGCTAAATTTGTGTGGCATTACTGTAAATTTAAGGCCTCATTTTCTTTGTTAGACACGTTAATAAGAATTGACAAACTATTCCCTCGTGATAATTGTCTGTTAGTTCTCATTATTACTTGAGTACCGTAATATGCAAATGAATGATGGAAAGAAACTCGCATACGAGACATCTTAGTTGCTGAGATGCTAACACTTTTTTTTTAACCCCACAGATAACGCTGGCAGGGAGTACAGGGAGTATGCACTGGAGTAAGCTGTTAGCGCACGCGCGTAATATAATCAACCTCGCCGCTTCTCGGCGTTAAAAGGCGCTGAAGTGCCAGGCAGTCTCAAGCCTCGGGATAAGACAAGCTTTATGCGAAGGGGCCTTAGCGCGGTCGGCGCTCACCCGCCATTACGAAAAACGTGCGTGCTTCTATACAGCAACGAAACGTGTAATCTTGTAGGGATATCATGTGTGAGCTCTTGCGCTAAGACAAGTGCCAAGGCCTTGTTTAGGCGCATCGCAGCGGGCCTGTCGGCACAGGGGTAGCAACTGTCCTGTCTTCCCACTGCCAAATGGGCTGAACCAGCGTGGTGGGGAATCACATGAAAATATGCCACGGTGAATTTTTCCTGCCAATTTTAGGGAATAGATGAGAGGTTCGTGTGCGGAACATATAAGCTACATAATCGTTTTATGCTCGCGTCTCTGTGTGTTTATTACGACATCCAAGAGTGCTTGTCACGGTACAGGCATAGCATGCTTCGTTGTCCACAAAATAAATGCCAACAGCACGCCAAAGTGCATCAGGGCAGAACGTGGAAAACTTCGGCAACGTGTAGTTTGTAGGGGAAATTTTTTGTTAACAGTGATTAAGTCTCGCTGAATGTCATTCATGCTTTAAGCTGCATGGCAAGGCTGTTTTCAGAAACAAAATGTGAATAAAAGTATAGATATCAAGTCCGAGTATCTCGAAACTGGACAAGGTTTCGTGTGCTTAATTTGATGTGTGACAAGTACGTTTTGCAGGTTGTCTATTAAGCGCTCTTTATTTCCCCTCGAACTGCCCAGAAAAAAGTCGGGACAAGGACGTTTATGGCGGTGATAGCGGTGAACTTGGCCGTGCTGATCGTCGCTCCTCCGCTGTTCCTGGTCCCAATGAGGACCAACCTGGGTGAGTGAGCTTCACCCCCCCCCCCCCCACCTGACCATTATTTATATGCGGTCTTGTGGGAAACGATTTCCACAATGTGCTAACGGTACCATTAAAACTTGTGCAGCATGCAATCACTTCCTAGTTATCACCTATAGATAGCGTCGCTCATACGATAACTGAAATGCAGCATTAATTCGCTGATGCCCTTTCTTTATTTCCATCCGCTTTGCAGTGGCATCTATCGCCTGCATTTGGCTGACAATAACTGTTTGGCTGAAACTGGTGTCTTACCACATGGTCAACTGGTCGTCTCGTCGGGAACACCCATACGAGCACAAAACCGGCAACGGAAACGTCCCCTCGGTAGAAAAAGACGGTGAGCCGCTTACTTGTCCCTCGCACGTTCCTCCTTTGCACTCTATTTAAAAGGTCGCATGGAGCCAACGGCGTGCCTTTATAGTTTGGGAAATTAATAACTCCAGCGGAATGGCTCTGTGTGTTTTACACGCGTTTCCAGTAATGTATTCAGCAGTGATTACACACTTATTGCTCTTATGCACAGTTGCGGTAAACATATCTATACAAACTGGCTGTCTTACGTTACTTGAAGTGCGGATGCCGTAGAATGTGCGGATGTGTAACTAATGCAGAAAATGTATCTTTCGACAGGTGCAGGGATCCAGAAGGCCAACGGTACAGCTGCCAACGGGCATATTTCCAAGCTTGTCGTCTATCCCGACAATCTCTACGCTGCGGGTAACGATCGAGTGTTTTGACTTTATCAGCTTTAGATGCAGATGATTATGATATTAAGAGCTCTTCAAATAGCGTGTGTAGTCGTGCTATCTGGTCTGGTCAAAATGTGAGCGTCCGGGACAGGCAGTGTTTTGTTTGTGCTTCGTCATTATGACTATACTTCTGTAGCTGGAGCGATATTCTTTTTTACTTGTGCATGCATCACGTGTTTCATGTTTACGCTCAAAAACCTACGCATATACAGCGTATCGGCATATAAAAAAATTAATTGCTCCTCGAATGATAATTAACGGCAATAAAATGTGATTCACTTCCTCTTATTAACAAGATGTATAGAGAAAGTCCTCTTACAAAGTCCAGAAAGAGTAAAATGCAGATGTAATAGTTGACCCGGCTGATTTATTTTAAAATACTTATTTAATGTGATGTCGGTGCGTGCCGGCAAGGGAACTTCATGTTCACTTCAGTCAACTTCAGCCACTTTAAACCACCTTCAGTTTAGATGTTCTTTTCGAAAGTGGAGGTACACACGTGCACCTCAGCTTTCGATAAGAAAATCTCAACTGAAGTTGACTGAAGATGGCAAATGCTGAGATAGCTAGCGTAAGAAACAAATACCACAACTATTCTTTATAATTTACTATCGTACAGACATGTACAAAGATTTGTCAGGCAGCCTGTGAAAGCATGGCAGCGACTTAAAAGCGTTTCAACGTCCATAAGTTGTTTTTGTACTGTGCGTGGTTTCAACAGGCACTTACCTTGGGGTAGTCTATCTTAGCCCAAATGAAGGAAAAGATGCCACACAATACCCGAGCCAATCTTGACCCTACATACATATTAGCTTTCTGCAAAAACGCCGGATCCCATAACATAAAAAAACACACGCAAGGTATAGGCTAAAATTACAGAAAAAGTACCAGCACTTGGTCCCAGGTCTCCAGCTGAGAGGGGGGGGGGGATAGGGATGCTAGGTGATCACCCCCTCTCCCAGAAGTCTGATGAAGGAGGTGTTTTTTTAAAATAGAGAAAGCCTTCAGCAAATAACCCCCCTCCCCCTCTTCCTCAGAAATAATTTAAATAATTTCCTACACGGTCCACTATGAACATATAACTCCACAGTTTCGTAGGTCCGAATGCTTGACCTGAACTGCTCGATGTGCCAATTTTTGTTAAATAGTGCAAAAAAAAAAAAAAGCATTGACACCCTGCGGTGTTTCACTCGACCTTACAGTTCCGAACGAAGACGATGCCTTTTTCGGCGTTGTTGTTTCGGACATGGAAACGGTCGTCCAAGGCCAAAACGCGCAGCTGTGGCCGTAAAGAAGTCGCTACATTACGTTGCTAGGTGGCTTTATCTTCAGCGATCATACGGAAAAGGTTCCCTTCCTTCTCTGTGTTTATAACGCACACGCATACCTATATCTGCCTACCTATTGACCGACCAATCGGCCTATTATACTAACCCTAAGAATTTTATAGCCCTTTCAGGAATTTGACATTTGTTTTGTTGAATCTGGAGATTTTTGTTTGTAAGGGTCTGGAAATGTCGCAGTACGCAGGCTCATTAAAACATCACTTATTATTCGAGCCGCTCTCTAAACCAGAAAGGCTGTAAAATGATATTGGCTACTTCATGTTTTTTTGTTTAAGACAGTCTTGGCGTTTTGGTGAGCCGTGTGAAGGAGATAGCAGTTGCGTGACGCGAGATTATTTTGCGGTGACTACAGGGGGAAATTTACCTCTGAAGTCGTAAGAGTTAAGCCCGTGCATATCATGAGCTCCCACAGAGATTGCTGCACCATGAAACGCAGATAAGTTTCGTCTTGTCGTGCACATAACGCGTGTCACGTTTACGCTCACTGCGTGCATTCGTGGAGCAATGTCTTCATGTGAAATAACCAGGAAGATTATAGAGGAACAGAGCAAAGTAGGACTGAAGATTTTGTATAGTGGTGTAGGTTCAATATTGCGGAGACGGCGTTAAGAAAAGAGACAAGACTGTTCAGGTGTGCTAGTCGTGCCCTTCACATGAGAGCAGAAAAGTGACGGATAGAGTTGGCTTCAAGGGGAGCTGATCGAAAGTACAGAGGAAAGGCGCAGCCTGTAAAAGCACCGCGCACTATTGACGGGAAATGAAAGGCGAACGGCGGAGCGCGTATATCAAGCCTTATAAGAGCTATAATGCATGTGGTTCAGTTATATGTTATATAGATATTGACTGGACATCACGAACATCCGCTTCCGCGGCACTGTGCGATTACAGTGCAGCCTTCTAGATTGTGTTTTTGTTGTGATATGGTGATAATGGTGGCCGGCGTGTGTATGCTGCACGCTTTCGGTCGCTTCTGTTTTATTCTTTTATTTGTTTTACCTTTAGTTCGTTTAGAATATCAAAACTAGGACAGACGTGAAAATATCTGACTGCCCATTGGACATCGGGCTGTGCTGCCAAACCGGATGTGTGCGCCTGTCAGTGGGGATGACTGGACTCCGCTCACTGTGTACCTTTGATAGTGCTTGATCTACGCACTCCGCTGTTCGCGTTTCACTTGATGTCGATAGTACATCTACTCAAAGTAATGGAAATGATTGCAAATGTGCAAAAATTAAGTATAAACCCCCAGCTCACACGCTGCAAGTACAAGGAAGCTGTGCTAGAGTTGCTGTTGATCCGCATGATCCCATGTATGTCTTCAGTGCGTCTGCAAAGTGAACTTGACATGCAAATCTGTCCCTGTGGCAACTGGTTTGCAGACGCTTTTTATGTGCACTTCCACAGACCGTGTCGAAAAAGACTTAAGAACGTTTGCTGTCGAGCTAGTTGGTGCATAGCTGAATTGAGTTGATGGCCCAAATGTTTAAAAAGCAGCAAAGAAGACGCGTAGGACACGGAGCTGTGAGCGTGCGCTTTTCAGTGTCTTACGTGTCCTCTTCACTTCATTCTAAACATTTGCGCCATCAATTCAAGTTCGAAAAAAGGCCTTGAAAGGCGGTTAATAATGCTTTTTGCTTTTAACAAGGTTTCTAAGAACTCTGACACAGAGCACACTATCTTAATAGTTATTTAGGAGTCAATAACCCTGAATAACGGCATGAAACTATAATTTAGTGATGTTTCTTGTAATGTAGGAAATTTTCGAGGGTTAATCTAGGAATTAAACGTTGTCTTCGGTTGGCATCACTTCTGCCTGCCTGTCTGCCTGCCTGCCTGTCTGTCTGCCTGCCTGCCTGCTTGCCTGCCTGCGGATAGATTCATGAACGTTTTGCCTTTTTATCAATTACTGCTTCTTCTGCCTCCCTCCTGCATTATTTTTCAACAGTGAGGGCGAATGTGCGCGTAGGGTATGCCAAGTATACTAATTTAAAATATACCCAGCACGCTGCTTAGTGCGGAAAAGATAGTCAAAGGAATTAGAAGTGATAGTTATTGACTAAGAAGAATGGAATGTGAATAAAGGGGAATGGAAATTTAATCACGATTTAATCAAAGGGAAATAATTGAATCAGTAATTAGAGTACATAGGTGAATCAAATGTTGCTGAAAGAAATGCTAAAGTAAGTTAAAGTGAATCAAAGGGGAATCAAATACGAATTACCCTTCGACGACCAAGTCTCAATGTACAACCAGTGGTGATGTCTATGCGACTGTAAGACAAATAGCGATGAGAAGTAGTGATATAATAGACTTAGAATTTCAAAGTAACTTCACAAGTGTCGCGTTAAAGCATAGGTGTTTGTCCACGCTTTCCTTAGCATTAGATAAAGATACTACAAATTTCTGTGCAAGGAGACAGTGAATGCGCAAATACTGTACATACTTTTTAGTTGTACCTGAATATGTTTTCAAGTAGAACCGACCTAATGATGTATGATGATCTCAGCCTACACACACTAGGCAGATGACAGTGATCTTCTGTCGATGAAAATTCAGATGTACTGATAAGTTTCTAGATTGTGAAGCCACTACAAGGGTCCAACTCGTAGTTGTTACTATTTTTTCTAGTGAGTAGATATCATTAACGTTACCATTGCTAACTGTAGTCACTAGCATGGTATAGTAACAGAGCCGCTTATTAACACAGCCACCAGAGTATAGTCCAGTGGTTACAGTGCTCGGTGGTTGAACCCAACCTTGCCGGTCGCATTTCGATTGAGGTGAAGGGGTTTGTTAACTGTGCGTTTTCAGTACACTTTAAAGAACCGCAGGCCGTTTAAATTATCTGTAGTCCTCCTCTACGGCTTTTATCATAGCTTAAGTCGGCTTGGGATAATACACCCCATAAAACAACCAATGAAGTCACTTATGAACTACTGAATTAATGTTCTCCTGAGCAACGGCTTCGTCTGCTTTTTTAATACCTTCATGCTTTTAGATTTCTTTGTTTGAAGAAAAAAAAAACAGGCATTGACTGCCAACGCTCAGCCAATTATTCCCCATCAATGTCGTCATTAGTTCTGACAGGTGGGTGAGGTGGTGTTGGTTTTTGTGTCTCGTGTTCTTGCGCCGTTATTACCTATGGTGATTCGCTGGCGTGAAATTTTACCCCAGACCCTCAAGAGTGTGAAGAAATTTACTGCTCGATATTTAGGAGGGATAACCGATGCCACTCCTTATTCCGATGGTACATCTGAAACGTGCAATAGATAGCATATGTACCATGCAACACATGTCAAGAGGGTGTTCCGATCAGCAGCACATCTGATCAGCTGCATACAGTGGCATCGTAGCTAAGCATGAACCCACCAGGCCCGTGTTTCATCTCCAACCCACCCTCCCCAATGTTTTTCGACATGATATAGCGCAAATTGACTATAATGACCATTTGCCCGCCCCACCCCACTTAAGATCAAAAAGGTGCTCCCTCCCCCCTCCCGTAAAGATTTTTGCCTCCGCCTCTGGTGGCATATGATGAGTACAGATACACGTTTCAAGAGTTAAAGCCTCATTGCAGCACGTTGGGTGAACAATAATACACCGATTACATACGAAAAAGAGATTTAGGGATTCCGTCAAAGTAGTGCATTCGACTTGACTCCACCACAACACCCCTTCCCCTTTCTTTTCCTTTTCAGACATTTGGTACTTCATGTTTGCCCCCACGTTATGCTACGAGATCAACTTCCCTCAGAGGCCGAAGATACGAAAATGGTTTCTGCTTTGGATAACCTTGGAAGTAGTACGTCTCAAATATTATCTTATTATTGAACCGCTGAAGACAGAATCTGCTAATTAAGCTCAGAATTATCACTACATTTCACAGCATAAGACAATCGCTGTGCTATGTTTCCTACGTGAAATAGGCGGGGATGTGAATAGCCAGGGGAACCGAAGAGCCAGATGCTTTCATCGATAATAATAATGACACGTACGTAAGTAGCCCAACATTGTATTGATAAAAAATGTTCATGAAACTATTTTGTCTGTAACAGTGTTCTCTCAACTAACAATTCCTCGATAATTTAGTAACATTACTTGAACAGCGAGGTTATAATTGCTTCACAGGCACATCATTTTGAAAGTATTACGTCATATTGATGGTATTCACGAAAAGCGGTGTCGTATTGACGGGAGCACGTGGCCTTTCAATATTCAAAAATACTGCAGTTTAGGGTCCTAAAACCCCGATATAAGTACTAGGGACGTATAACAGCACCGGAAATTTCGACCACATTTAACGTGCACCCTAAATTGTAGTACACGAACCTCAAGTATTCTACTGAAAATGCAGCCACCGGCACCGCGATTCGATTTCGTGCGAACTTCGTTTCACGACTCGAGTGGCATAACTACTGGAGCACCGTTGCGGGTGCGTGCCGTTGCAAACAAACAAACAAACAAACAAACAAACAAACAAACAAACAAACAAACAAACAAACAAACAAACAAACAAACAAACAAACAAACAAACAAACAAACAAACAAACAAACAAACAACAAACAAACAAACAAACAAACAAACAAACAAACAAACAAACAAACAAACAAACAAACAAACAAACAAACAAACAAACAAACAAACAAACAAACAAACAAACAAACAAACAAACAAACAAAAAAACAAACGACAGACAGACAGACAGACAGACAGACAGACAGACAGACAGATAAATAGGTGAAACTTCTGCACAGCTATACATGTTTTTCTGCTCCAATGAGCTTCGTGGTTATACTTCCCATGGAACATTTTTGGATTTTGGCATCACATTGTGCGCTAAAATTTCGACCAGTACGATCCACGGGTTTGATTTTCACTTCATATTCATATATGCTTTGACATGCTGGTGTTCGGCAAGAAGACCGCTTAAGCTCGTACACACGAGGACCGAGGGATTTATGTTATACACTCATCAAGTGATTCAACCAGAGGTCACAATCACAGAAATCTTTCTTCTGCCATTCAGCAAAATACATTTAGTACGGGCTTTGATATTTACTGCGTGATCATTCTTTTTTGTTCTCCCCAGTTTTATTATTTTGTTTTGTTAATATGTAGTGACTCATTCATTTTGCTTTCTTTTTATCATTATCTTGCCGATGTTCAACATAAGCGCGTGTACAACAGGACCACCGGAAATAGCACACGTATATCGGCGTCAAAATAAAATTTGTTGTGGGGAATCCTATCACGCTTTCACTGCGTCGGTGGTTCAGTGTTAACAGTGCTTGATGGCTGAGCGGAAGTTGCGGGATCAGATTTCGGCCGTGGTGGCCGCATTCCCACGGCGGCGAAATGCTACAGGCGCGTGTGCTTAGATTTAGGCGCACGCAGAACACCACATAATTGCAATGTCAGGAGCCCTCAACTATGACGTTTGGTATTACTACCGGATGTAGTCGTCATAATGAATAGCTCACAGGGACATCACTAATAACGACGACATGTTGGGCAGGTTGGTAACGCTGCATAACTTGGAGTGGTTTATTTTATAAATGTCTTACCCGCCGCCCATTCAATGTTATGTACCTATCACTCGGTCAGGTTTACGCGTAGTCTGTCTACGTCAGTGGGCTTGCTGGTAGCCGACTTTAAAACTCTTCGAGAATGAAGGTGCTCTTTAAGATTTCACCCAAAAAACCAAAATTGGACGCTCGTAGGGTAATGTTCAAGACGTCGACATCACTCCGCTTGTAACAAACACGCGCGCCCCTCTTGACACCATTACCCTCAAAATTCGTGCCAACACAAAAAAAGTAAAAAAAAGAAAGTGGATAGGTGGTAAACTTAAAAGTGGGCCTTAGCTTCCTCGAATGAGGTGTCTGCCCGCGTTTCTTTCATTGAATTTATTTGCTCGTTTTCTTGCAGGTGATTATACCGTTGCTCGGCATGACGCTGCTGAACCAATGGGCATTGCCCATCATGACCATAACTGCGAAAGCATACAACGTAAGTTCGCATTGCGAAAATCGCGTGCAACGTGCGGTTGAGAAGGTTAGCCTTGAGTGAAGATAAGGGACAGTGATGACCACTAAACGATATTCAGCTTGGTTAGCGTGATAGAACGAACGTTAAACAGACTTTCGTTCCTAAAGTCAACCTGGTGTTCAGACACTTGGACAGCCATGCATATATGTGGCAAAGTTACACCTCACTTGTAACAAGTAAATCTGGCGGCACTATGCTTTCGTTGTATTTTACGGTTCGCTGTGGCCCAGTGACTGAAAACCATTCTGTGCCAGACAATGGGGAACAGATTTATGATTACATCGGGTCTACCGGGTGCTGTATAAATGAACGGGTGAGGGAGCATGAACTAAATTTAATGAAAGATGGCTTGGCACATTTGCCTATTGTAAAGCCTGCGGGTGTGTACCACGTTTTAACGAGTTTAAGATTCTAGGTAGAAGTAAGCACAAATCTGCGCATGAGTTGTTGGAAGCCTATTATATTAAAAACAAAGGTGAAAAGTGTATCAGCGAACCGTCGGTGACGTTGTACGTGTCGGAGAAGAGATTGTTTGATAGCTGGATAGCGTAAGGCTGTGTGAAAGCTGCGTATGTCTGCATGTTGTTACTTAAGCCTGGATTTGCGCCCGGTCTACTTTAGTTGGAAGTTCCGCTTGTGCTTGTCGTTGAGTGTTCCTTTACTTTGTGTGTGTGTGTTATTTGCGGCCAAAGCATGTCATTATGATTACACTTAGCGTTGCCTATCTATTACTTTTCTCCGCTTTCCAAAATCATACAGAGTGCTATTGTAAGAAGCTTGTCAAATGAAGAAAACCCGCGAATTTTCTTATCATGCTGCAAATGTTATCTCAGGCCCAAACATGCGGCCATTTCAGGTAGAAGTGCTCATATGGTAGAACAGTACCGCAGCGTAACCTCCCAAGAATCCGCTTTATTTTTTCAGTTAGCGTGTGCGTCCCGTAATGCCATGACTGTTTACTTTCCTAACTGCATGGAATGTTTGCTTCTACTGTATATTTCGACAGGAAATGGACATGTGGGAGCTATTCAAGTCGTACATAGACCTGGTGGTGAGTACCAATGAAACACTACTTCCCGCGTGACACAAAGCGTCAGCGTAGTAACAGAGATTTGATAACGAAATTAGACGCGGAAAACAATAATCGGGCTCAAAAGCCACTATGACATTGTAAATAGGGATGGAGACAAAGATTCAATTGAAAAAGTACGGGCTGATTTAAACGTCTGTATACGCCTGAACGGAAATTCTATCATTGAATACGCTGCCCACTGCATGGTTCACAGGTACACTTTTTTGAAGACTCAGCATTTATTAATCTTCCGAAAATTGAACAAAAGTTTCTGCTTTCCTACATGGTCTACCTAGCTCGATAACTGTTTTGCAAAATGAGCTAGAAAAGTTAATAAGCACTCTCAAAGGTATCCCGAAACGGGTTTTTAGCATTTTGTCACCATCTGGGTTGCAGCATTACCAAATCGTTGGCAGCATAAATTAAGTGACGCATCTTGTGTCACAGTAGCTACTGGCCGTTATGTGACCCTCCTCCTCAGCACTTCCATTCCTTCTCAAACACGCGGCCACCGCTGGCCACGGCAGCACCCTCGACGGGTTGAGCTTTAGCTCCCTGAATATATATGATCGGAGCCACCGCAATCGTAGACTGTACGTTGCCTGCTCCTTCAACACCGGCAGCGCGCCGTCGGGCAACGGAGACGAACCGAATGGCGTTGTGGTGGAGGTCTGCTCCACCGCGTGCCGTGCAGCATCACCAGCCGTTCTTCCTTTATAAAGACGATAGCTTTTCCTGGCGCCCTTCGACAAAAAAAGTTTTGGCCTGTCTGTCTGTACATTTGTCTGTTTGTCCGCCCTAACGACACCTCAAACGGCACCAAACGGCGAACCCCATCCGCAGCACCCATCAATATTGCTCAAGGTTTAGCTTTCATAGTTGTGCGACTTTCAATTGAAAAGCAATGATTGCGCATATCTGAGGAACCATAACTACACTTCGATGTTTTGTATGTCTGCCTTTATACTAGAAGAGTCACACGCAAGTAACTCTAAGGAATGTAGCGTTTATAGCGCTGCGCTGACAGTGCAACGCGATGCTCAAAAAGGTGTTTCCAACGCTTCGCTACGACGTCACGGTGGTGGCACCTACCCGTCGCTTTGCGTTCTACACCTTATAACCTCCGAGACTGGCGCCTGTCTTTCTCCGCGGGCTGCACGCCTTCGTTTTTGAAGATAACTGCCAGATGGCGCCTGTGTCTAACGTGCCTCGATGCGCTCGTTCGCCTCCGCTGCACGCTCGAGGCACACGCAGCACTTCCAGAATACCATTCACCGAGTTTTTTGCGCACAACACCAAACAAACGTTTTGTTCACTCTCCCCAGATGCAAGACTCGTTTTTCGACGACATTTGCGGTGTAACATGCAGATTTGGAACCAATTTTTTTTCTACTGTACGCCGACTATCCGAGTACGCGCACAAATAAAAGAATTACACCCTATCCACGAAGTAAATGATGATAAAAGAACTTGCTCCGGAGCTTAAACCTGGTAAACCGTGAATACTCCGCAGATCCACTTCACTATCTTACAAAGACGTGGCGTGCCCTATCATCATCATCATCATCATCATCATCATCATCATCATCATCATCATCATCAGCCTGACTACGTCCACTGCAGGACAAAGGCCTCTCCCATGTTCCGCCAGTTAACCCGGTCCTGTGCTTGCTGCTTCCAATTTATACCCGCAAACTTCTTGATCTCATCTGCCCACCTAACCTTCTGTCTCCCCCTAACCCGCTTCCCTTCTCTGGGAATCCAGTCAGTTACCCTTAATGACCAGCGGTTATCCTGTCTACGCGCTACATGCCCTGCCCATGTCCATTTCTTCTTCTTGATTTCAGCTATGATATCCTTAACCCCCGTTTGTTCCCTAATCCACTCTGCTCTCTTCTTGTCTCTTAAGGTTACACCTACCATTTTTCTTTCCATTGCTCGCTGCGTCGTCCTCAATTTAAGCTGAACCCTCTTTGTAAGTCTCCAGGTTTCTGCTCCGTAGCTAAGTACCGGCAAGATACAGCTGTTATATACCTTCCTCTTGAGGGATAGTGGCAATCTACCTGTCATAACTTGAGAGTGCTTGCCGAATGTGCTCCCCCCCATTCTTATTCTTCTAGTTACTTCAATCTCGTGGTTCGGCTCTGCGGTTATTACCTGCCCTAAGTAGACATAGTCTTTTACAACTTCAAGTGCACCATTACCTATCTCGAAGCGCTGCTCTTTGCCGAGGTTGTTGTACATTACTTTCGTTTTCTGCAGATTAATTTAAGACCCACTTTTCTGCTCTCCTTGTCTAACTCCGTAATCATGAGTTGCAATTCGTCCCCTATCATCAGGGGCAGTGAAAGTTTTGGGACGTTAAACCCTAACAGTTATTATTATTATTATTATTATTATTATTATTATTATTATTATTATTATTATTATTATTATTATTATTATTATTATTATTATAGTGAAGGTTCTTTGCAGCGCCCCCCCCCCCCCTCCAACTACACCGCGAAAATCGGCGGTTTTGACAGGAAGTCGCAAGCGCCCCGTGCCTCCAAGGGACGCAGGTCGCGTTGGTTGCGTCTGGCATCGGAGCTCACGCATTCCTAGCGTATATACAGGGTGTCCCTGGTAACTTTAGCCAGAGTTTAAAAATATTCCGGCACAAGCCATTACGATGCGACCAAATGCATGTTGCTCGCCGTTGTCTGGAGTTAGACTATTTTTTGTAATCTCGAATGTTGTTTATTAAGATCTGTTTAATATAGTAACTTTTGAAAGAACAAATATGAATAAAAAATTCAGTATGAGAGTTGTAGATATGTTTGCAAAACGCCAGAATAGATAGTTCTGAAGCTTATATCTGCTAAGTATTAGTGGTTTTCTGCTAATTACAAATGCCCGCGAAATAAAGAAAAATACCACGTGACAAACCCGCTCGCGCGTCAGTGCGCACGATGATTCTAGTGCTTCCTAACGTTCCACGCACTAACGACACGTTTCCCTCGCAACGGTTCATGACAGCGATAAGCTGTCACAGCGGTTATTGTTTTTGTGGCCGATATCAAAACGTGCTCATCGTGAAGCCACCACCATTGTTGCGGCTCTGCCAAGAAAGCACAATGGGGCAAATGCTATAGTCGTTTGTAACCCGAACGTTAGGGAGCACTAGAGTCGTCTCGCGCACTGGCGCGACGAGCGGGTTTGTCACGTGGTATTTTTTGTATTTCGCGCAAATTTGTAGTTAGCAGAAAAACACTAATAATTAACAGATATAAAGTTCAAAACTGTCTTATCAGACGTTTTGCAAAGTGATCTACAACTTTCTCATTGAAATCTCTAATCCATCTTCGTTTCTTGAAATTCAGTTAACTAAACAGATCTGTTTAAACAATATTTTAGAACACAAAAATAGTCTGACTAACTCGAGGCATCGGTGAACAACATGCATTTATTTGGTCGCGTCGTAATTGTGCGTGCTGGCACATTTTTAAACTCTAGCTGAAGTTACCTCGGACACCCTGTATATAGCATCGCTTGCCGAGCGTGCTCACTTCATGCAAGAAGAGAGACGCACGCATCGCGTTCCATTCTGACCCTGTCGTTCGCTCCAGAGGGAGCGTGGGTACTACGGCGGGATGGATGGACAAGGCTCGAGCATCAGGAGCAAGCTCCTAAATGCATTCGAAAACGGTCAACCATAAGCGTAAACTCAGGCAATGTGACCGCGCCATCAAGGCTGAAGTAACAGCCGCGTGAATCCTGGCGTTATTCGGATGACGAAAGCACGACGCTGGCTGTACCGAAGAGCTGAAGAGACTCCGCTAACCAGTTGCCTTACACGCTGTCGCAGAGACGGTAATCGCTACATAGCAACTCACAATGCAGCTAGGGCAATTCCGAAAAAAAGAAACCTCGAGATAAACACTGCCGTGAAGCTCACGTCAATACGAAGCACGTTGAAACAGATGCAAAAAACACTGGCTATTCAACGGAGATTCAGTCACGTGGCCTCGATATATACAATCAGATCGGTCGCTGGCGCTCGGTATAACGGAAAAATGCTACGTAAGATGAAAACGGGAAGTTGAAAACTCGTTCGGCTGAGTCGCTGCGAGCTGTAGTGATTTTATTGTTCAAAGCATTGTGACAAATTACACACTTCGAGCAGAGAGCTTGGCTTGCACATGATCCGTATTGCTTTACCAGCTCAGCTTGTTTGTACAAAATTGTGAAAACAGTTTCAGGGTATTTTAATGTTGCCAGTTAGTAAAAAATGCCGAACGTGAATGTATAGATGATCAGTCCATTGACGACGCCTCAGCGAACGCCGCAACAAAACTCTGAGGACTTCGAAGCATAGCAATGAGCCTGAACCAGTGATAGCTGGTATAGATTCACACTGCAAGAAGCCGTGGTGAAGCCCAGAATAACAAACTGTGTCATTAGGGTCATAGTGCGTGCAGGGTTCCTCTTTTTTTTGGGTGAGAGGAAGGGCGAATGTTTGTCGCAGCACTCCCTTCGATAATTGAATCAGTGTATGCATGGGGTAGACATTGCGCACCCCCTTTTTAATTGACTTGGGGAGGGGACGGTGCTGGACGGTCACCCTCCAGCACCCCTCGTGCACACGCTTATGATCAGGGTTAAGTTATTTTAGGGTACGTGTTAGTTATTCTCTTTTACTTTTTTTGTATATATTATTGTTCAGCGCGCTATAATCGGGATCCTTTTTAACTCACAGCCTTCTCTCGCAAAAGAAAGCTGGTTCAAATAAGATGCTAATCGCTTGAAGCCTTAGTAATTTACGTAATGCTATAAATCTTTTACAGGTATGGAATACAGTCTTCTGGATTATGATGTCATTTTGGCTCTTCCACTCGACTCTCAATTGGCTCGGCGAGGTGCTGCGATTTGCCGACCGGGACTTCTACAGAGATTGGTGGTAAGCTGCTGGGGTGTAATGACTGATCTGTATAACGTCCTGCCGTAGGCATATCTAACGGTAAGCTTAAAGTGTCCATGTGCAGAGACCAAATAAACTGCACAAAGAAAGGGAGAGGGCAAGGCACGACAGAGAAACGAAATCATGTAAACCAGTATGCTTAACACCCCCCTCCCCACCTCGTTCGCATTTTGTCCCATCGTTCAGCAGTCGTCGTCTTCTGCGTGCGTTAAGGTATGGCACGCAAGGGTATCTGTAGCTTTGCTCGGAGGAAGTCATTTGGTAACATTAACATGGGGCAAAAAAGCTATTATTATTAGTCAGCTCTCAATATATGTATATATATATATATATATATATATATATATATATATATATATATATATATATATATGTATGGGAAAGAAGTGTATACCCAAGGGCTCGTTTTTCCGTGTTTTAACACAATATTAATGACATCTAACAGACGGTAATGCCAAGAAATGTACAGGGAAAGTTATTAGAACCAATGGAATGTAAATAAGAAGAAAGAAAAGTGGATGAAAAAATAACCAGCCGTGATCAGGAACGACCTGCTCATGGCTGGTTATTTTTTTCATCCACTTTTCTTTCTTCTTATTTACATTCCATTGGTTCTAGTAACTTCCCCTGTACATTCCTTGGCATTACTGTCTGTTAGATCTCTTATATATATATATATATATATATATATATATATATATATATATATATATATATATAATATATATATATATATATAGTGAAGAAGTTGAGTGCTACTCAGAAAGGCAGAGGGTATCACTCAGTCTGTGAAGAAGACGACGTCGTTTGGTCGGCTCGGTGCACAGGCTGGTTCCGCCATTACCACTCTACTTGTCGTGACCGCTTTCCTGTTATATAAAAAAGTGCCGCTCTAAAACGCCTCATTTTAATTGGTGGAGGTGCTGGACTGGATAACACATATAACACTTTCACCGTCCCTTCATTGTTAAGTTTCTTAACTTTAAATCAAAACTGGAAGCCCTTAGTAACGCCTCGAAATTGAAAGATCTTAAAGAGCCCAAAGTCTGGCTAGAAGAAGATTTTTCACCCAAAGTACAGCTAGCCCGAAAAAAGCTGCGCGATTTCGCGAAATCAAACAGAAAAAGCACCGAGAAATACACAGTGCGCTTTAATAAACTGCACATGCACAACTCCACTTTTTGTTATGATGCTGCAAATGACTGCGTTGTCAAGGTAGCCTCAACGAAAGCGCCCGCCCCACAATGAACTTCTAAAGGGCCTCTTTACAAAACTAAGTCAAGCAAACCCTTATCCTTACTCATAGCAAATTTTCGTAGCATCTATAACAAAATTGACGCCCTAAATGCTATTTTGTTCACGTGTTCGGCTGATATATTAGTAGGCAGCGAAACATGGCTATCTGAAGACGTTCCAAACATTGACCTAACACTTCCCTCGTCATTTGCGCTCTTCCGCAAAGACAGAGCGGGCTGCCGAGGGGGAGGAGTTATAATCGGTGTGAAATCTGGTTTTCATTCATCTCTTATTTCCATTCCCTGCCCTCTTGAAATCGTTTGGGTTTCTTGCTATTTTGAACATGTTCACTGCGTCATCGGTGCCTGCTACCGGCCACCTGATAGCCGGCAGGATTTCGTAGAAATTCTTAACGATTCGATCGATTCTGTTTTCCTCAAGTTCCCGAGTTGTCTGTTAATTCTTGCCGGTGACTTTAATTATCCTGATATTGACTGGGCCTCCCTAACCGTTCATGCTCAACGCAATCGCCATGAACAACTAAGCTTTCTGCGCTTACTTCATTTTCATAATCTCGAACAACTCGTACATGAACCGACGCGTGGCGACCACATACTAGATCTTGTCCTCACAAATAACCCACAGCTTGCTAAAACAAACATACTGGACAAAATCAGTCACCATAACGCCGTACATTGCTCGTTGTCATTACCACGTGCAGACAAATCTAAAGTGAAGAAACGTATCTTTAACTACAGCCGAACAAACACTGAAAAACTAAACGGTTTGTTGCAGAGCTTCTCTGAAGACTTTGAACACAACTTTGCACATCATTCAGTACAGCATAACTGGTGTTTGTTCCGCGATAAACTAAAGGAAGTGGAGGAATTGTGTGTACCTAAACTATCAATAAGCGAAAGAGTAAATGACCCTTGGTTTACTCGAGAAGTAAAAAGAAGCTTAAATAAAAAGAAAAGAGCCTACCAGAAAGCCACTAAAACGAGCGACCCCCACGACTGGCTTAAATACAAGAGTACATCCAGCGCGTGCGCGGATGCAATTCGCAAAGCCAAAAATGAATTTTACAATTGCACGCTCCCAAACCTTTTAAAAACAGACCCTAAAAAATTTTGGAATGTTATTAATTCAAAGAACAACAACTCTGCCCCACCCATCACAAGTGAAGATGGCAAGACCTTGCCTGTTGCAGCATGTGCTCAAAAACTGAACACCTACTTCTCTCAAGTTTTCACTGTCGAGCGACCACTAGATAGCTCTCTTGATTTGCCGTCACTAACCGTTCAACACCCGTTTTCCGCTATCGTAATCACTACGCATGGCGTAGCCTGCGCAATAGGTCGTTTGGCACTCAAGACTAGCCCCGGACCAGACAGAATTAGCGCGAAACTTCTAAAATTAACAAGAAATGTTGTAGGCCCGTGTACTCAGATTTGGGTGCACGTTAAAGAACCCCAGGTGGTCGAAATTTCCGGAGCCCTCCACTACGGCGTCTCTCATAATCATATGGTGGTTTTGGGACGTTAAACCCCACGAATCAATCTAAAATTAACAAGTCCCTTTTCGTCATACTTTCTTTGTTTGATTTTTCAACAATCACTTGATTCAGGATTTATACCAGATGATTGGAAATCAGCGCATGTGACCCCAATTTTTAAGTCTGGTGACAATACAGTTCCCAATAACTACAGGCCAATTTCACTAACATCAATCTGTTGTAAATTACTCGAACACATACTATTCACGCATATAATGAAACACCTTAATCTGAATAAACTGCTCCTAAGCAGCCAACATGGGTTTCGTAAAGATCTATCTTGCCAAACACAACTCTTTGAATTGGTAACTGACCTTCATTCTTCTCTAAACGTGTCCCGTCCTGTTGATGCAATTTTTGTTGATTTCTCGAAAGCCTTTGATCGCGTGCCACATAAACGTCTGTTGCTAAAAATTCGCCAACTCCAACTCGACCAAAACACAACACGATGGATAGAAGAATTTTTAACCAATCGTTTCCAGACAGTCAAGTTAAACAATCATATTTCTAACCAAACACGTGTTTCATCTGGGGTCCCTCAGGGGTCAGTGTTAGGTCCTCTTTTATTCCTGATTTACATCAATGACATAGCATGCAGCCCAAAATCACCAATTCGCTTGTTTGCGGATGATTGCGTAGTGTATAGAGAAATATCTAATCCAGACGATACAATTATCTTACAATCTGATCTTATTAGGCTAGAGGAATGGTGTAGCCGCTGGCAAATGGAAAGAAATGTAGAAAAAACCAAACACATAATGTTTAGCCCTACCCCCGAGACAGTTCCCGCTAACTACAAAATAAATGATACTCCAATAGATTCAGTTCAATCGTTTAAATATTTAGGTGTGTTCTTTACGGCGAATTTAAAGTGGTCATGCCACATAGAATACATATCTACTAAAGCCCTTAAAAAACTCGGCCTTCTCAAAAGGCGCCTACATTTAGCCACCAAGGAAACCAGGTTTCATGCATATAATTGTCTTATCCGGCCCTCACTAGAATACGGTTCAATCATATGGCATCCTCAGGGCGCCAACCTAACTAACCTTTTGGAATCTGTCCAGAACAAGGCAACCCGGTTCATCACGTCCTCGTACTCACGTTACCAAAGCGTATCTTCTTTAAAGAATTCACTTCATCTTCCCTCACTTGCCATGCGCCGAAAGTTGGCTCGACTATCTTTTTTTCATTCGCTGTACCACAGTAGCACGCCGTTTTCCCAGCTTCATATCATTCCACCACCTCATATCTCCGCCCGGGTAGACCACACTTTCAAAGTTAAACCAATTTTCGCTAAAACAGAAAGATATAAAAACTCTCCTTTAGTCCTTGCAATCGCAGAATGGAACGCGTTACCTGCTCACATCGCAGAACTGTCCGATTCATCATCTTTTCAACATGCACTCAAAACCTTTCTTGATGTTCTTCGATGACGCATAAATCTTCATTTTGTTTTTCTTCTTCTTCTATGTTTCTCTCTGTATTTTTTTCTTTTTCTTTTTTTGCACACTGTTGTTGAGTGTACTGATCGCGCTTTTTTGTTCTTGTTTACTGTTTTTAAAGTGCATTTCGCGTGAACTCTGATTGATTGATATGTGGGGTTTAACGTCCCAAAACCACCATATGATTATGAGAGACGCCGTAGTGGAGGGCTCCGGAAATTTAGACCACCTGGGGTTCTTTAACGTGCACCCAAATCTGAGCACACGGGCCTACAACACCGCGTGAACTCTTTTTTTCATTCAATGTAATCTATTGTTGTTTGGCGTTGTTTCTGGATTGCACTTTCAGTTTCTCGATGCAGTAGACATGTATACCATCTCTGCCTTCATTTATGTTCTGTACTGTACTTGTGATCATAACCCCACTCTATCCCCTCCTATGTAATGCCCATTCGGGCCTTTAGGGTATTTAAATAAATAAATAAATAAATAAAATAAAATATTCCTGAAATTGCGACACCGTACGTTGCCTCCAGTTGCTACTATGTCCACGGACGACGATCAGCAGGCGGCCGCCTCGGCTCCAACTACTGCAGCTCCCGTCTGTCTCGGCTGCTCTCGGCAACGCGATCCACCTACCTTCAGTGGAACCGATGACAAGGATGTCGAAGACTGGCTCGACGAATACGACCGAGTGAGCAAGCACAAGTGGAACGATGCGCACAAGCTTACCGTCGTCCACT